ATTCTTCACAAGTATCACTTTATGTCCCGCAGTCCAGTCCAATCCCTGTTTGAAGAGTTGGCCTCGGAAATTGTTTTAGTTCTGGGGTGATGGAGAGACCAGGGGCCATGTGAAAATAATCTCTTGATCACCTTTCTGTCTATGACATACCATTCTTATTTCTCAGGATAGTGATGAGATGTCATGTGTGGCATTGTTACTAAATCATAATGAACTGTACTGATGTAAAAAGACTTCATGCATCTGAAGGGAATAATATCTTATGTGAATTGAGGGAATTGGTATTCAATTATAAATTTAATTCGTATTGGTGAAATTTGTTAATTTCATTCATTTACCCATGTGTAGTCAATAGAAAAAGCATAATAAGCCTGAAATTCAAAACAGTGATGTTGGTTTAGTGAAATGTAGTTTAGTAACATTTAATGAAAGAAACCTTGGTGATGCAAAGGCAAACACCAGTCTGCTAACTGAAAGGTCAGTGGCTCCAACTCACCAGCAGTTCAGCCAGAGGGAAGACCTGGTGATCTGCTCCTATCAAGATTACAGTCTACAGAGCCTTGTAGGGCAGTTCTACTCTGTCCTATAAAGTCGCTATGAGTACGAACCAACTTGACGCCACACAACAACGACTACAACAAGGTTTAATAATAAAAGACCAAATTTTCTGAGTTTTTTTGACCCTTACAACTTGAGCATGTTACAAAGATTGCCCTCTGCTGGATAATTGCTGTAACATCAAACATATATTGGCTTTCTGAAAACCAAGTGCTACTGAGACTTATTGTGAGCAAATGAGGGGGAGTATGACGGTCAACTTTAAAACTGAAAGGAAGTTGAGGTTGAAGACCTTCAGTGACTGTCAAGGAACATATGAAGGTCACCCCTACTAAGGTAAGAAAGAGTTTACCTTCCTTGTGATTCTGAGTGATGAGGACAAAGTCAAATGCTGTTTCCCTGCCATTCTAAACTTCTTGATTTATTCAAAGCTACCACATAGAAGGAGTCCCTGGATGGTGCAGATGGTTCATGTGCTCAACTGCTAACTGAGAGGCTAGAGGTTTTAATCCACCCATAGGCACCTCAGAAGAAAGGCCTGGAGATTTATTCCTGAAAAATCAGCCATTTGAAAGCTCTTTGGAGCACAGTTCCACTCTGACACACATGTGCATACTATGAGTGGGAGTTGACTTGTTAGCAACTGGTTACTGGTTACCACATATATAAAAAGTCAGTACATTATGATGGAAGTAAAGTGTCTTGAGAAAGGTTACATAACAACCAGCGCATCTTGGTTTTATTTCAGCCACTTATCACCTAGAAACGTAAGCGTTATCTATGCTTCTCATTCAAATTGAGAAATCCCAAGAAGAAATCTGAAAGCACAAAAGTGAGAGCTTACTATGGTTTCCTCTGCATTACAGATCCTTGATTTGTAAAGCTTGAACATCTTTCAGTTTTTAAAAAATCTAGGTAAGGCCATTTCTACCATTGTAGTAACGCCTGACCACAAAGCTGGACCCTTTTAGGTAGTAGATGCTAGCTTATTATCTTAAAGTAGAACCAGCCTAACACAAGCTATATTTTATTAAAAGTCATTTTAAAAATATTAAAATATTAATTAGATGTGGTAAAAAGTCAATCATTATAGATGGTTAATGAATGAAATGTAAAAATGTTCTTGGTCCACTCTAAATTGCAGTCAAATCTATTTTTAAATCTCAGGGGTTACCTCTTTTAAGGTTGGTGTATTCTTCCCAGAAATTTCCATGGATTTTCAAGCATATTTAGAAGAAGAACTTTAATTTGAAACCCAAGTGTTAGCTGAATCACAAATTAAGCCTTAAATCTTACCACAACCCTTATCTCAACCCAACCTCAACTGCAGTGCCAAAATTAATCCTAAAGCTCAAACTAACCAATCATTTCAGTTTAATGATGAAAATCCAAGAGAAGACTATCTTTCAGAGGCTTACCTATCCTCCTTCATCTTCCTCACTTCCCTTTTCTCTTTGTTGGAATGCTAGTGAAGACACAATTGAAAGAAAAGAAAACTTGATCAACTCTAAACACAAAAGACTTGGTTCAAAAGAAATCAATATGATTCCTATTATTTTTTACACATATAGGATTCATTTATTCAGTGAAGAAATACTTAACTGCCTCTAAATTTCAAGCCTTGCTCTAGGTGCTGGGAATAGAACAGTGAACAAAATAAACAGAGTTCTTATAGCTTTCGTTCTACTTAGTAGATGAGCAATAATTAAATAAATAGGCCTATAATATATTATGTGATGGTGGTAAGTCTTATGAGGAAGAGAAAGCACAGTAAGGGGACAGAGAGTGAAAAGGAGTAGTATTTTAAATAATACAGACAGGGAAGATTTCATGGAATCTGTAATATTTTAGCAGAGATATGCACAAAATGAGGATGTCAACAATGGGGACATCTGGGGAAAGAGCATTCAAAGTAGAAGGACCATCTTGTGCAAAGGCCCTGAGGTGGGACTATACTTAATGGGTTAGAGGAGACCAATGTGGCTGAAGCAGAGTGAAATGTGTAAGAGGAGTAGGAGATGAGGTTAGAAAGGTAATGGGGCTCCACATCATGTGAGGCCTTACAGACAATGGTAAGGAATTTATTTTAAACATAATGGGAAGCCAGTAGAGTCTGATGGGGAATGACATGATCTTCCTTGTATCCTGGCTTTTGTGTGGAGAGTAGACCGCAGGTGGCAATGGTGGAAGCAGGGCTTTCAGTTAGGGGGACATTGCAAGATATCAGGAGGAGAGCTGAGTTTGGGTTGGGGAATCAAAAGAGCTGTTCGGGAAACGTTACTTTGAGGAGATGATTACATATTCAAGTTTAGTTGTAATCCATATGGTTTTTAATGGCTGATTTTTGGAAGTAGATCACCAGGCCTTTCTTTCTAGTCTGTCTTAGTCTGAAAGCTCCACTGTAATCTGCTCACCATGGGTGATCCTGCTGGTATTTTAAATACTGGTGGCATAGGTTCCAATATCATAGTAACACACAAGCCACCACATTGTGACAAACTGACAGGCAGGCAGTATAAGTATATTGAGTTCTACTCTATATTCTGGAACTGGAGAAATAAGCATTCTTTAATCCTGCTGGAGCCACTCGGAGATGTACTTGGGCCAAGACTCCATTGCTTTGACCTCTATGTAAGTCCCACTCTGATCTGTGTACCATGGTCCCATTTCAGGTCTTCAGAGATTAGCATTAGTTCTAAGTCAGTATCTAATAAACACAGGCAGTTTTGGGTTACGAATGTCCAATTTAAGGACAACTTGTACTTGCCCTTTAATGCTGTGTAAATTTGCCCTCACTTTGAAACAATTGAACCAACCCCTACTGGTAACAAATTCTTTGTCACAATCACCTTCACTTCCTGCACCTAAAGGTTTTAAATAACTGAAAAGGCTTTGAGCCTTTTCTTGCACAAAAACAAAAAACCCAAACCCATTGCCATCGAGTTGATTCCAACTCATAGTGACCCTGTAGGACTGAATAGAACTACCCCATAGGGCTTCCAAGGCTGTAAATCTTTATGGAAGCCGACTGCTGCATCTTTCTCCTGTGGAACAGCTGGTAAGTTCAAACTCCCAGCCTTTTGGTTAGCATCCCAGTGCTTTAACCACTGAGCCATCAGGGCTCCTTTCTTACGCTAACCCAAACCAAATCCACTCCCATCCAGTCAATTCAGAATCTAGCAACCCCACAGAGTTTCCTAGGCTGTAAATCTTTATGGAAGGAGACTGCCACATCTTTCTTCCGGGGAGTCGCTGGTGGTTTTGAACCACCAAACTTTCAGGTAGCAGTCGATCGCTTTAACCAGTGTGCCACCAGGGCTCCTTTCTTGACTAAAGTAAGGCTAAATAAGAACCTTATGCACCTGTTCTTACTTAGCTACAAATTCTTAAAGACACAGGAACAGGGACTGCATATAAAAAAAGTATTTCCTATATTCTTCTGAGGGAAAACTTGGAAAAAAGTTCATGGAATAAATTTATGACTGAATTGCTGAGCGCCTTCTCCAGGATGTGGCCTTTCCCCCACCACTCTAATTGAAGGGCCCCAAGTCTATGAATTGGTTTAATTCCAGGAACTAGGAGTTTGTGAATTATTACTGTGGCATTTTGTCTCACATTTCTGCCACCAGGTACAGATATGTGCTATTGTTGTTGTTATTAGTTGCTGTTGAGCACTCAACTACTAGCCAAAACGTTAGCAATTTGAACCCTCCCGGAGGTGCCTCAGAAGACAGGTCTGGTGATCTGCTTCTGAAAGGTCACAGCCTTGAAAATGCTATGGAGCAGTTCTACTCTGCATACATGGGGTCACCATGAGATAGATATGTATGTAGTTTTAATTACCACTGACATCAAGAACCCCAATTTCATTGCAGAATCTCTCCCTGTCATCTTTGGCTTACAGATGTCAGCCAGAGCAGAGAGCTTTTCAAGGATGTAGGTGCATACTCTCACCATGCATTTCTTAATGCCTTGGTGAAGGAAAGAATTTCTGAGCCCTGAGCCCTCTGTTTTAAAAGTCTTAAACACATTCATAAGAGTTACACAAAAGCTTTAAGCACATGCTACCAATTATGATGAATAAAGGCTTTATTAGATTCAATATTACATTTTTATCTATAGTTCATAGTTATCAAATTTACTGTTTTCATTACCTGCCTTTATTCCAATAGTAGCAAATTTAATTGACGAAGGCCTTAGGATGTATTCAGTGAAAAGACTTTCAAAACTTGTGTGATCATTTAAAATAAGACAATGCAATTTTACAGTGATTTATTTTAAAGTGTCTTCACTTTACTCTTGAGAGGAAACATCACCATAAAAGGATATTTTATTTCTGAAGAGCATTTGCTGGTAGCTGGACAGTTCATTTCCATGTATGTTGTACCGCAGCTCTTTTGTTTGCATGTATCAGCACAATTTGCTTACTTGTCCGCATACATTCAGGGATTGGCTACAATGAAAGAAAAGGCAAACAAAATAGAGTATTAGTTATCTTAAATCCACTTACTTTTTATATTTTCTTTATTCAAAGCTCGCTACATAGGCCTATACTACTTAATAGACACACCAGCTGTAGCAGATACGGGGTTCTCACAACACAGAGCTTTATGAAAACGAATCTATTCCCTCCCCTGCTCCAATAAGGTGTACAGTAATAGAAATACACTTATTTACCAATTTATTTCAGCTGCTGTTTGTTTAGTCCTGTGTGTATGGATGTGTGTGCTGTCATATACACTTGTGCAATGAATGGATGGTACAAAGGGGCTAAATGTAGCAAATGGGGAATATAAACCCAGATCACAATCGACTCAACAAAATGCAGCCTGTACAGAGTTGCAACCATGCAAAGGGATAGTACGCTTTACTAGTAGTGACTCTTGTGTGTATGGTGTTTGAGATTAATAGAGGACTTGATGGAATGTTCAACATAGGTGCTTAAAATAGCCCAAAGATCTGTTACAGATATCTGCTCCCCATGCCCTGCAGCTGTTTGGAAGGAATCAAGACATAATTGGCAGAGTAGAGTGTGCGTGGGTGCATGTGTGTGTGGGCCAGAGGGTAGGGGAAGGGGGTGGCCATACTGGGGAGAGCAGCACCAAGCTTCTCTTTCTCTTTCATATTCTCTTTCATTTAAGAGCAAGAGCAGATTAAGCCTGAACCTATCCAAGATTATATAGTAAGTTAGTTTCTATACTGTGTCTTTCTCCTGCCTTACTGAGACAAAAAGCAATTAAAAAGGGAATAGTACAAGCTAAAGCGAAACTTTGTCTCTTCTTTAACTTGGCTTAAATTTGTTCTGCATAATCACCTTATTGTCTATCTTATTTTAGTCATCATCACCCTCTAATGGAAGCTGAACTTACCACTTCATTTTTAGCTCTATTTTTATTGTCAAGATCAGAATGACTGGGGTAGGAAAAGGAAGGCCCAGAAGAAGAATGGTAACATACATATATTAGGGCATGTCCTCAGTAAGGTCCATGTCCAGGCAGACCCATCACACAAAGACATAGAATACTTACTGCAAAGCCCCTTGTCACAGTGATTAGGGCAGTCTCCACATGGTTTTCCTTTTTTATATGGGGTCTTGATGGTTGTTACATCATTCCCACTGGCAATGGAATATTTGAAGGAAAGAATTAGTGACAACATTAAGGAATTTGGGATTGTGCCATGTGAGTAGAATATATAGCAAGAGTCACAGGAACTCAAAAGAGGGAGAGATTTCTAAAGGTTGGAGCAATAAAGAAAATTTCAACGTAAATCAGTAGGATTCACTTGTGTGCAGAAGAAAGGAGATGGTGTTCCACTGTCTTTACGTAGATTAAAGGCATGCACCCAGAGGACAGGTTTGTAGCGAGGTGCCTAAGAATTTTTGGGATGGGTACCTCACAGCATGTTCTATACTTCTTTATGGGGTGAATTTGCTTCAGTTGAGAATCTATTATGTACCATGCACTATTCTAGGCATTTAATAGTTTACCATATTTAATTCTTACAAAATCCCTGCAAGAGAGGTATTGCTACTGCCTTTTTGTAGATAAGGAAAATGGAGCTCCAAGTGGTTTAAGTTATTGGTGAATTGAAGGCCACACAGCTAATAAGTGACAGACCCAATGGTTGTACTTGATCTTAATGGACCATAGAGCCCAGGCTCTACATATACCACGCTAGCTATATTATATATCATACTCTCTGTGTCTCCCTGACTTCATCACCCTCTAGAATGCACTGTTTGTTACTTCTTGTCTTTTCCAATTCTCCCCTTTCTTCAAACTCCACCCTAATGATCATCTGTGAAGCTACCATATAACTGCAGATTGATGAAAGAGACTGGATTATAGCCCAAGGTGCAGGACACTTGGCCTACCATATGCTGAAAATGATCCCTTGTGCTGTACTTACGCGGGACAATACTGGCAAACATAGTAATACCGTAAGGGGTGCTGGGGACAATAGGCTAATGCACAGCCAACCTGGTGGGAAGTGGCCCAAACAAGCTGAAAGAGAAAAATTTACAATAAATTCATTTTTAATTGAATTTATAGTGTTCACCTGTTCACCCTATGGCTTTTTGTCTCTTAATTGCTTACTAGAAGTTATTAATGAAGGGAATTTAAAGATAAACTGAAAGATATTAGTTTCAGATTTAAGAAAATTTCCATCTAAATTTGATGATTATTTTTTTCAAAGGTCTCTTCTAGTTATGGGGCTTCATTTAAAGTCAAGGAAACTGTATACATTCATCATACACTTGTTTTAACAATAAATTATTTCACAGTCCATAAAGATGTAGGTGGATGGGGTGTCGGGAAAGGAGAGGAAAGGTGCCTAAAGGCAATTAGATTTTTGCAGAGAAAAACAAGAAGAAATCTTGTTGACATTGTATTTTCGTGGAGATAATCTCAGTTTCCCCAACACAACTTTTCTTTAGTTTTTATATAACAAATACAAAAGAAAAAAGATTCAATGATTTCAAAAAATAATTTGTCTGTATAAGAATACACTATTCCTGATTATTTTTTTTTTCATCTTGTGACTAGCCCAGAGAAAATAGCTGAAGTTTTTTTTTTTTTTTTGTTAAAAGCCATTTAGTGTTGCTTACATATAATTGTGGTCATTCTATCACTTCATTCCTAGAGCTGTCATTTAAAAGAAATTCTTTGTAGTAAATTAAAATCACCATGACCAAATGAATGTTTGTGGGTATCCAGGAGATAATGAGTTGATGTTTACATCTATTATTGGGTGACATGTGCTTTGTAAAGTAAGGCAGATTTTATGCTCATGACTCAGATTGTGTATCTTAGATGTGAGTGTGGCATTTCCAGGATAAACTGAGGAGAAAAAGTAATGTTGGAATGATAGAGGACAGCAAACATAAAGTTTTGTCATTTCATTTTTACCTGAGTGTAATGGCCAGTTGTAGTATTTGGTCTGGTACTTCCAAATCCGTATTTAAAATATTTGACTTCATCGTATAAACTCTGGATTACATCAGACCATGATTTAGGATGACTGGACATAAATAAATTCTCCCCACAATGAGCAACTAAAAATTAGAAAGACGATAAACCAATAATTAAGCCAGTACTAGTGAAGAATTCTCTTTGAAAGCTAGTAATATATTATGTTTTACTTTTTATGATCAATATCACATCTCAAACATGTACAGTCATCTCACACTGATCAACGGGGAAATCCAATTTCCATTTCAAAAGCATTGCTCTTTGGATTGAAATCACTCTTAAAAAAAATTAGTTTATTTTTGAAATCACTTTATTTCCCCACTTATGACTGTTGTTGCTGTTGTTAGTTGCTGTTGAGTCGTTTCCAACTCCTGGTGACGCCATGTGTGCAGAGTAGAACTGCTCCACAGGGTTTTCAACTCTGTGACCTTTTGGAAGCAAATTGCCAGACGTTACTTCAGAGGGACCTCTAAACCAAAAAACCCATTGACATTGAGTCAATTCCGACTCTAAGTGGGTTTGAATTGCCAACCTTTCAGCTAGTAGTCCAGCACTTAACCATTTGCACCATCCAAGTACTCCTCATCTATAAATAGCTCTTTTTAAAATGTAAATAATAGTTCATATTCCATTGATCCTGTAACAACATAGCCAGACATCATTTTGGTTACACTGGTAAACTGATTGACATTTACTGAGTCAGCAAGTGTTTATTATCTGCTCTGCCCTGGTGGCACAGTGGGTAAAGCATTTGGCTGCTAACCAAAAGGTTGGCAGTTCGAATCCACCAGCTGCTCCTTGGAAACGCTCTTGGGCAGTTCTACTCTGTCTTGTAGGGTTGCTGTGAGTCAGAATTGACTCGACAGCAATGGGCTTGGTTTTTTGGTTTATGCCTTCATAGGTAGGAGCCCTGGTTGCACAGTGGTTAAACACTCAGATGTTCACTGAAAGGTTGGCAGTTAGAACCCACCAGCTGCTCAGTGGGAGAAAAATGTGGCTATCTGCTTCCGTAAAGATTTACAGCCTTGGAAACCCTATGGGGCAGTTGCATCCTGTCTACAGGGTCTCTGTGAGTTGTAATCAACTAAGCAATAGGTTTATGCCTTCCTAGTATGCACGTGAAGGATATTAAAGAAGTTATAGACAGGACTTATAACCTTTGGCTCCTTATCTGGTGACATAAAATGAGTATATGTGAAGCAGATGGCAAACAGATGTAATATGAAATAATTTGTGGGATAATGATAAAGTCATGGGTGAGGAGTGACAATGGCATGTCGTGATAATGAAGAGGCTGACTGGATTTAGTGAAAAGTGTAAGACAGGGTGGAGCAGAGTGGGCAGGTAGAGTGGAGCAGACGGAGGACCTTGGGAGGTAGAAAGAAATTTAATTCACCGTTAATATTCTTTACACTGATGCCCTGAAAAAAAATGTACTACAAGAAATAAAATGATTGCTTTTCATCAGGAGCTCATGGTCCGGTTTGGCCACAGTGTGTTAGGTAAGTGGGGTTTCCTCTAGATTTCTGACAGTAAATTTGCATGTAGCTAAGCAAGGATGATGAATATCTAAGTAGATTTAACTTCAGAAAAAAAGATTTAAACTGATTCTTTTTGTTTTCCTTCAAAAGCATTTCCAAAGATCCCATTGACAACTAACTCAGACTGATTCTACACTTCTGGTCTGGAGCAGCAGAAGTAATGAGTTTTTAGGACAAGCGATTTAAAAAAGAAAAGAAAAGAAAGAAATGTGTGTGTGTGAGGGGATAGGTGATAAAGTTAAAACCCACACGCAATATACAAGCTTGCCATTCCCAACCTGCGTATCTACTTCAATGATTTTTAGTTTGCTTTGGTTTTTAAGAAATGATACATTTATTCATTGGGGAAGTTGACTTACAAGAACTAGTTCGTTGTTGATTTGGAGGACTGTGAGGCAGGGTGCACTTGTTTGCCCAGTTTCTAGCATTCTTTGCAACTTCGGCATTCCATGTCTTGAAATAAATGCCAAACATTTGGAAAAAAAAAAATATATATATATAGAAAGTTTCATGAGATAATGGTAAAGTATATGATTACACGGAGAACAAACTTCTATTCAATTTGATGAATTATTTTATAATATTTCTCATTTTTCCATTGTTCTACCAAAAGACACATTCTTTGCTTTCCTAAATGATCTATCACCAGAAAGTAGTTTTCTATACAGAAAAAAGTTTTTCAGGACAGAATTAGTCATTCGACCTCCCAAGGCATTACCTTCTTGCCAGATGGTCCCAGGCAATAAAAACAAAAGCTTTTTCTTTTTACATTCACCCATCCATTAGTTTTCTTTTCTTTTTTATTATACTTTAGATGAAGCTTTACAGAGCAAACTAGCTTCTCATTAAACAATTAATATACATATTTTTTGTGACATTGGTTGCCAAGCCCACGACATGTGAACACTCCCCTTCTCGATCTTAGGTTCCCCATTACCAGCTTTCGTGTCCCCTCCTGCCTTCTCATCCTTGCCCCCTGGGCTGGTGTGTCCCTTTAGTCTCATTCTGTTTTATGGGCCTGTCTAATCTTTGGCTGAGGTGTGAACCTCAGGAGTGACTTCATTACTGAGCCAAAAGTGCATCCAGGGGCCATACTCTCAGGGTTTCTCCAGTCTCTGTCAGACCAGTATGTCTGGTCTTGTTTTTTTTTTTTTTTTTGTGAGTTAGAATTTTGTTCTACTTTTTTGTCCGGGTCTGTCCAGGAGCCTCTATTATGATCCCTGTCAGAGCAGTCGGTGGGGGTAGCCAGGCACCATCTAGTTTTGCTGGACTCAGTCTGGTGGAGGCTGTGGTACTTGTGGTCCATTAGTCATTTGGACTAATCTTTCCCTTATGTCTATGATTTCTTCATTCTCCCTTGCTCCAGACGGGGTGAGACCAGTGGTATCTTAAGCTTTTAAGACCCCAGATGCTATTCATAAAAGTAGAATGTAGAACATTTTCTTTAGAAACTATGTTATGCCAATTGAGCTAGATGTTCCCGGAGACCACGGTCCCCACAGCCCTCAGCCCAGTAATTTGGCCCTTCAGGGCCAAGTTGTGCTGACTTCCCCAGTATTGTGTACTGCCTTGTCCTTCACCAAAGTTAGCACTTATTTATTGCCTATTTAGTGTTTTTCCCTCTCCACCTCTCCCCTCCCTCATAACCACTGAAGATTGTTTCTTTTTGTGTGTGAATCTTTTCATGAGTATTTATAGTAGTGTTCTCATACAGTATTTGTCCTTTTGTGATTGACTTGTTTCACTCAGCATAATGCCCTCCAGATTCATCCATGTTATGAGATGCTTCACAGATTCATCATTGTTCTTTATTGTATTCCATTATGTGTATATACCATAGTTTTTTTATCCATTCATCTGTTGATGGACACCTAGGTTGTTTCCATCTTTTTGCTACTGTGAACAATGCTGCAATGAACATAGGGGTGCGTATGTCTATTTGTGTGATGGCTCTTATTTCTCTAGGATATGTTCCTAGGAGAGGGATTGCTGGATTGTATGGTATTTCTAACTTTTTAAGGAAGCACCATATTGTTTTCCAAAATGGTTGTACCATTTTACATTCCCACCAGCAGTGCAGGAGAGTTTCAGTCTCCCCACAGCCTCTCCAACATTTGTTATTTTCTGTTTTTTTGATTTGTGCCAGTAATGTTGAGGTGAGATGGTATCTCATTGTGGTTTTGATTTGCATTTTTCTAATGGCTACTGATCGGGAGCATTTTCTCATGTTTGTTAGCTTCTTGAGTGTCTTCTTTGGTGAAGTGTGTGTTCATATCCTTTGTCCATTCTTTAATTGTCTTTTTGTTGTAGAGGTGTTGGATTTTCTGTAAATTATAGACATTAGATCTTTGTCAGATTTGTCATAGCCAAAATTTTTTCCCCAGTCTGTAGGTTCTATTTTTATTCTTTTGGTGAAACCTTTTGATGGACATAAGTGTTTAATTTTTAGAAGATCCTAGTTATCTTGCTTATCTTCTGGTGTTTGTGAATTGTTAGTTATGGTTTGTATCCTGTTAGTGCTGTGCATTAGGACATCTAGCATTGACCCTATTTTTTCTTCTATGGTCTTTATAGTTTTTGGTTTTGTATTTAGGTCTTTCTTCTGTTTTGGTTTAGTTTTTGTGTATAGTATGAGGTATGGGTCCTGTTTTATTTCTTTGCAGATAGACATCTGGTTTTGCCGGCATCATTTGCTAAAAAGAGTGTTTCTTTCTCATTTGATGGACTTTGGGTTTTTGTCGCAGATCGGGTGACTATAGGTGGATGGATTTACATCTGGGTTCTCAATTCTGTTCCACTGGTCAATGTATCTGTCATGGTACCACTATCAGGCTGTTTTGACTACCGTAGCGATATAGTAGGTTCTGAGGTCAGGCAGTGTGAGTCCTCTTACTTTATTTTTCTTCTTCAATAGTGCTTTACTTATCTGGGGCCTCTTCCATTTACATGTAATGATTAGTTTTTCCAACTCTTTAAAGAATGCTGTCGGTATTTGGATTGGGATTGCATTGTATTTGTTGATATCTTTGGGTGGAATTGACATTTTCACAACGTTAAGTCTACCTATCCATGAGCATGGTATGTTTTTCCATTTATTTATATCCCTTTAGGTTTCTTGCAGTACTGTTTTGTAGTTTTCTTTGTACAGGTCTTTTACAACCCTGGTTAGATTTATTCCTCAGCATTTTACTTTTTTAGGGGCTATTATAAATGATGTTGTTTTCCTGATTTCCTTTTCATCATTCTCTTCATTGGTGTATAGGAATCCAACTGATTTTTGTATGTTTATTTTGTATCCTGCTACTCTGCCAAATCTTTCTATTAGTTCCAGTAGTTTTTTCATGGAGTCTTTAGGGTTTTCTATGTATAGTATCATATCATCCACAAATAGAGACAATTTTACTTCTTCCTTACCAATTTGGATGCCTTTTATTTCTTTTTATTACCTTATTGTTCTAGCTAGGACTTCCACTACAATATTAAATAGGAACAAATAGAAAGAGAACAGCAAAAGAAGCCCACAGCCACCAGAAGAAATGAAATAATAAAGATCGGAGCAGAAATAAATGAAACGACAATAGAAAAACAGTTGGAAAATCAACAAAACCAAAAGTTGGTTCTTTGAAAGGATCCACAAAATCGACAAACCGCTGGCCATAATGACAAAAGAAAAACAGGAGAAGAAGCAAATAACCCAAATAAGAAATGAAATGGGGGACATTACAACAGGCTCAAATGAAATAAAAAGGATCATAACAAAGTACTATGAAAAACTATAGTCCAACAAATTTGAAAGCTTAGAGGAAATGAACAAATTTCTAGAAACACACTACCTACCTAAACTAACACAAGCTGAAGTTGAAAATCTGAACAGACCCATAATAAGAGAAGAGATTGAAAAGGTAATTTAAAAAAAAACAAAAACAAATTCCCAACCAAAAAAGCCCTTAGCCTCTTCGCCCTTTGAGCCTCTCAGCCTTCATTTTCCCTGCTGGGGCAAGTATTCCAAAGCTCTGTAGCTCCACTGATAAGGAGCTGGAGGCACCCCACCCTGCCAGTAAACTTTGGCAAGAAGGCACTCAATTCTCTTGCTCTGTGGGTCAGCAAGCTTAGCTCCACTGATAAGTGCCCAGAAGCACCCCACTCTGCCAGGAAGCCTCCTGTGCACAGGCACTCAGCTCTTTCGCTTGGTGGGTCGGCTCCAGTGCTGTCTCAAGCTGGTCTCCTGGTTCTGTTGCTGCTGGTTCTTTGCTGCTGCTGGTCCTGTGCTGCTGCCAGTTCGCACCAACTGTGTCGTCTCCAGTGTAACAGCTCTCCTCATTTCCTTTTGAGTCCTCTACTGATTCACAGTTTCAAAATCGCTTCCACATTTTAGGTATTTGTTAGAGCAGCACCCCAATCCCAGTACCAAATTCTGTCTTGGTCATCTAGTGCTGCTCTAACAGAAATACCACAAGTTCATGGCTTTAACAAAGAGAAATTTATTTTCTCTCACAGTCTAGTAGGCTAGAAGTCTGAATTCAGGGCATCAGCTCCAAGGGAAGGCTTTCTCTCTCCATCGACTCTGGAGGAAAGTCCTCGTTATCAATCTTCCCCTGGTTAAGGAGATTTTCAGGGGCAGGAACCCCAGGTCCGGAGGCTGAGCTCTGCTCCCGGTGCCGCGTTCTTGGTGGTATGAGGTCCCCCCTCCCATCTCTGTGCTTGGCTTCTCTCTTTTATATCTCAAAAGAGATTGACTCAAGACACAATTCAGTCTTGTAGATTGAGTTCTGCCTCATTAACGTAACTGCCACTAATCCCATCTCATCAACATCATAGAGAGAGGATTTACAACAGATAGGAAAATCACATCAGATGACAAAATGCTGGATAGTCACACAATACTGAGAGTCATGGGCTAGCTAAGTTGACAGACATTTTTTAGGGGACACTATTCAATCCATAATAATGGTTTCCAGGCTCCCTACTATGGTAATAAGCATCTTCTGTATATGCACCTTATATAAATGTGATGTCCAAGTCTGTACACATTACAAAACATATATCTGACCATAGTAGAAAAGTGAAACTCTCCATTGTCAGATTTATATACCATATTCTATTATGTCAAGTTTAAGGTTTCATCTGTGGTTTGGCATTTAAAGTATTTTGCGCAAATGACGTGAACCATCTAAATTTGCTCGCCTCCTCCCTCCTTCAGGTATTTTTGTAAGTGTGCTATGTTAAATTTTTTTTACAGCACATATAAAAAAAAACTGGCATAGCAGTGTTTATGAAAATACTTCCCGGGGGAGGGAGCAGTTGGCAAACAAATATAGAGGCACATGTTATTTGTGTAAAAATATGTAATCATTTAAATTATGTAATCTACAAGGTTTCTTAGACAACATCTGCCCATTAATTATACTTCCATTCTATATTGCTAGAGTCAATATTTTTTCAGTTCAAATGCAGTATATTGCATTTAACTACCAGCCTGGACACCAATATGTCAACTTTATAGTGAAATAGACTATTTTGCATATATAGATCCCGGTTTAATGCCAGTTGCTAAATGGTTAAGTGCTAATTGATAATGACCCATTGACAAAACATGACTTGCCATTTTCAGCATGTTGGAAGCACTGGGATTTACCATCCTCCTTAGGTCATTGTGCTTGTTAGTAATTGCCATTTGGATTGATGGATGATCTGTCAATAAAGAGGAAACTGAGAGACCTGTCTTTAAAAAGAAGCAAAAAAAATTAGTAAGGGCTATGTTGCAATATTGAAAATCAACTGATTTATTTCAATGTGGAGGTTAATAAAAATGTTTATTTTACTGTTCTCCAACTTTAGCATACATCAGACTCATATGGAGAGTTTGTTAACACTCAGATTTCTAGGCCCACCCCCAGAACTTCTGATTCAGGAAGTTTCTGTTGGACAGGAGAATTTGCATTTCTAACAAGCTCCCAGGGAACAAACACACTTGGATAACCACTGGAATAATTCATAAGCTTGTTGTATGGAACTTGGCCTTATCATTTTGAACATCATCATTTTTTGCCTTTAGTGATAGATTAACTTGATCCATAAGACCTGTCTACATATGGTCATATCTCATAACATGCAAGAGTTTAAAGCCCTCATCAGTAGCCTAATTAGTACCAGAAAATCCCAATAGAGCAAAAAGAATTTGAGCCATATGATAGTCAGCAAAAAATATTTACTCTACACGCAGAGAATTTCACCCCTTTTTCTTTTTAATATATTGGAACATAGGAAGGCTATTTTATATCCAAATATTATTCAGATTAAAAAATGAGTAGCATCTTGAGGTGTCTCTGTCAACTATATTTAGCATCTCATAATGAATATGAATTTGTGTATATGCTTATGTTTAAATCAGCTTCAGGAATTGCTCTTTTCTATCTTAATAAAAGCATAACAAGAGAGTAGCATATTTAAAAAATGGAAAAATAGCCCATGTAAAAATTGTGGATTTTTAAAACTGAAAGAAACCTCAGAATCATCTACTACAATGCTATGCTGGTTGTTCTCTATTTGCTATTCCCTCCAACCCAAGCATTGCCTACCCTTCTCTGTCTTGCTCTGTGCCCATGGAAGCTGACCCTTTCATTTTGCACCACCAGGCCTCCTTTCCAGCCTACTTTCTGGGTAAATTATGCTAATGAAGCACTGATAGGAGAATCAGGGTAGAAGGAGTGAGAAGTCAGGGGACTTACTGCCACTTCCTCCCTGCATCTCTAGTAGTACCCGTCCACACTCCTTGCCCCTACTTTCTTGGATCCAGACTCTATCACATTATTTCTTCCTCTAGTCCCTTCAGGCTTGGGGATGGAAAGGCTTTCCGCTGTTGCTTGTGTCTATGTTGGCTCCTCTAACCCTGCTCTTTCCTCTGTAAATATACCTTCTTTAAAGCCCTTTCATTCAAAACACTTGTGTTGATGTGCAAAAACTAACTCAAAATGGATCGAAAACCTAAATGTAAAACCAAAATGATAAAGATCATGGAAGAAAAAATAGGGACAATGCTAGGGGCCCTACCACGTGACATAAATACAATACCATAACAAAAAATGCACAAACACTGGAAAATAAGCTAGATAACTGGGAGCCCCTAAAAATTAAACACTTATGCTCATCAAAAGATTTCATCAAAAAAGTAAAAAGAGAACCTACAAATTGGGAAAAATATTTTGGCTACGACATATTTGACAAAGATCTAATCTCTAAAATCTATAGAACACTTCAACATCTCAACAACAAAAAGACAAATAATCCAATTAAAAAATGGGGAAAGGATATGAACAGATAATTCACCAAAGAAGACATTCAAGCAGCTAACAGACACGTGAGAAAATGCTCCTGATCACTAGCCATTAGAGAAATGCAAATCAAAAATTTCAATGAGATACCATCTCACCATGACCTTACTGGCACTAATCCTAAAAACACAACCTAACAAATGTTGGAGAGGTTTCGGAGAGATTGGAACTCTTATGCACCGCTGGTGGGAATGTAAAATGGTACAACCACTATGGAAAACAATATGGTGCCTCCTTAAAAAGCTGGAAATAGAAATACCATACAATCCAGCAGTGCCACTCCTATGAATATATCCTAAAGAAACAAGAGCCATCACAAAAATAAACATATGCACACCCACGTTCACTGCAGCATTATTCACAATAGCAAAAAAATGGAAAGAACTTAAAAGCCCATCAACAGATGAATGGATAAACAAATTGTGGTGCCTTCACACAATGCAATACTACACAACCATAAAGAACAATGATAAATTCATGAACATCTCCCAACATAGATGAATCTGGAGGGCATTATGGTGAGTGAAATAAGTCAATCACAAAAGGACAAACATTGTATGAAACCGCTATTATAAAAACCCAAGAAGTTTGCACACAGAAAAAACAGTCTTTGATGGTTAGGAAGGAGAGGAAGTTTGGGGAAGGGAAATCGCTAAGTAGGTAGTAGACAAATGTCAACTTTGGTGAAGAGAAAGACAACACAATATAGGGGAAGTCAGAACAGCTTGACCAAGGCAAAGTCATAGAAGCTTTCTAGATACCTTCAAACATCTTGAGGCACCAAGTTACTGAGGCTGAAGTCTGGGGACCGTGGTCTCGGGGAGCATCTAGGTCAATTGGCATAACATAGTTCATAAAGAAAATGTTCTTTTTTCAATCGCACTTTAGATGAAGCTTTACAGAGCAAATTAGCTTCTCATTAAACAATTAATATACATATTTTTTGTGACATTGGTTGTCAAGCCCATGATATGTCAACACTCTCCCCTTCTCAACCTTAGGTTCCCCATTACCAGCTCTCCTGTCCCCTCCTGCCTTCTCGTGCTTGCCCCTTGGCTGGTGTGTTCATTTAGTCTCATTTTGTTTTATGGGCCTGTCTAATCTTTGGCTGAAGGGTAAGCCTCAGGAGTGACTTAATTACTAAGCTAAAAGGGTCTCTGGGGGCCGTGTTGTCAGGGTTTCTCCAGTCTCTGTCAGACCAGTAAGTCTGCTTTTTTTTTTTTTTTTTTTTTGTGAGTTAGAATTTTGTTATACTTTTTTCCCCAGCTCTGTCTGGGACCCTCTATTGTGATCTCTTCAGAGCAGTCTGTGGTGGTAGCCAGGCATCATCTAGTTTTGCTGGACTCAGTCTGGTGGAGGCTGGGATAGTTGTGGTCCATCAGTCCTTTGGACTAATCTTTCCCTGTATCTTTGGTTTTCTTCATTCTCCCTTGCTCCAGACAGGGTGGGACCAGTGGAGTACCTTAGATGGCCACTCACAAAATTTTAAGACCTCAGATGCTCTTCACCAAAGTTCTTTATGAAAATGTTCTACATTCTACTTTGATGAGTAGCATCTGGGGTCTTAAGAGCTTGTGAGTGGCCGTCTAAGATACATGTATTGGGCCCATCCTGTTCGGAGAGAAGAAGAATGAAGAAAACCAAAGACTCTAGGAAAACATTAGTCTAAAGGACTAATGGACCACATGAACCACAGCCTCCACCAGCCTGAGCCCAGAACAAATAGATGGGGCCTGGCTACCACCACCGACCACTCTGACAGGGATAACAATAGAGGGTCCTAGACAAAGCACTAGAAAAAATTCAAATTCACTAAAAAAGACCAGACTTGGTGGTCTGACAGAGACTAGAAAAATCCCCAAGATTATGGCCCCCAGACACCCTGCTAACTCAGAACTGAAGCCACTCCAGAAGTCCACCTTTCAGCCAAAGATTAGACAGGCCTATAAAACAAACAATAACACACACGAGGAATGTGCTTCCTAGCCTGATCAAGTGTAGGAGACCAAATGGGCAACACCTGCTTAAAGACAGAGGTGAAGGCAGGAATGGACAGGGAGAACCTGGGATGGAAAGGGAAAGGGGGAGAGTGCTGACACATTGTGGGGATTGCTACCAATGTCACAAAACATTTTGTGTATAAATTTTTGAATGAGAAACTAATTTGCACTGTAAATTTTCACCTAAAGCACAATAAAACATATATTTTTTAAAGATAAAAAATTATGTTGAATTCTGTTCCCTGTCTAGACTCCAAGTGAAAATTCCCGTTTATTTTACCCATCAGAAAACAGAGATTTAGAGTTGGTGAGTTACATCCATTTTATTATATCCAGAAAGAAATTACTGTAAATTCAGAAGTGCAAATTAAACAGATGACATATCCCCTATGCTCATGGGCTGTATTTTAGCAATGGGAGTAACATCTCATTAACTAATCTACCTCCATTTTATAGATGGGGTCCCTGAAGTTTAGACATGTCAAAAATCTCTTACCTAAAGTTACAAAATCAGTGAACAACAAAGCCAGAATTTGAATCAAATTCTTTTGATATTACATAATCATAGAGTCTTTCCAGGTCAACACACTGGCATCTGGAATATAACTATCACTTTGGAAATAGCACTTAGAAACTTTAGTTTACAATTTGTACTCCCATGTGTTAACACAATCAATCTGCATGATTGGCAAAGATACTAAGAAAGCTATGCAATTATCTACGTACAGGAAACTTGCTTGTACTTTATCTTCTTTTGAGAAATGTGGAAATTGCTCTATCCTTTTGTTTTTTTCAAACAATTTTCTTGCCTGTAAAAAGCTTCAGTTCTTTAAACACACTTTTACTTTATATAAACACTTAAGTCAAATTATAATAATCACTCTGCTTAGGGTATATATTAAGCTTCCTCCCTCCTGGCACACAAACTAACCCCCATGTTCTACTTATTCTGATAGTCAGGCTGCCAAAACTTCTTCTGCAAGGAGGTTAAGAGGAAGTGGAGACTTCCTTGTCAGATTTTGGCATTCCTTGATTGTTTCCTCTTTTAGCAAGGAGAAGGATGCATCTTCTGTCTTCCAAAACTCATGTCTCTCTCTAATTGTTCACTTTCTACTTGCTTCTCTGCTTATTGCACACCATCTTCTGTTCCCACTACTGGACTGAATTGATTCCTACCACTTGCCTAATTACCTTTCAGTTACAGATACATATTGAAGAAAAGCAAGGTGAGGTCAACGATGCATTATGTGGACAGGGAATATTAAGAAGCTTATCCTCTTCTTTCTCCATTCCAGGAGATTTGCAACCATCATCTTTTCTACATAGCATCTACCATGAGGTAT